ATCATCATCTATATATAAAATGTGCATTTTTCATCATCTAAATATAGAATTATTAAGATAAAAGAAAAAAGAAAAAACATTGTGCTAATAATTTGTATTATTATATATAATATCGTAATAGTACACCATTCATAATCATTTATTATATCATTTAAATTATGACAACACTTGTAATTTGGTCAATAAATGAAAACTTATTTTAAAGTAACTTGACACACTTGATACAGTTAACCACATTTAAATTTATTTATTAAATAAACAATTGTTTACAGAAAAAAATACTTTAATATGAATTGTCAAAAGTACCCAATTGTTGATAGATTTGCTATTTTTTGATAGTATGTTTATTGTGTTTAATTGACATTATTTTTCTCATACATAATACTTACAGGCTTTTGTTTAATATTAAAACCATATTTAAACAGTTTTCAAAAGTGTTATATTACTATGTCAAATTATATTGTTAAAGATGAGTTATTTTTGTTTTTTAATAAACAATTCTGATAATTCACAAATTCATTGAAAGTTTTTCTGTATTTGTTTGTAAACATTAATAACAAAACATATTATACAAATTATAATTATCAATCAAATTCAGATTGATTGAAATTTATGTTTATATTATTCTCGTGTTATTTTAATCAAGAAAATGAATATTTAAGCCTGTTATATTACAATATTAACATTTTGAGTGTTTTTCAAATAGATTCAATTCAAATTCATTAAAAAGTATAAAAACATATAATGAATGTTTAAAAATGTATTTTTTGTATATTGTAATTTTTGATAAAATGATTGTTATTCATAAATTTGTAAATAAATATAAATTTTTACATTACAAATATTAAAAATTAATCGTTTAACAATTTTCAAAACATTCATTTTTCTGTGTTTCATGTTAAGTCATTAAAACACAATATGTTGTTCAAAATATTTCGTTTAAAATATCAATGAATGTTTATACCATTAATTCAACAATAATTCACATTAAAATGTTAAAAATGTTAATATATTGATGTTATATCGTTGTATCAAGCTCTGTCACTTGTTTATACAATATTTTATAATAAAATGTCGAACAATAAAAATTTAGTTACATCAAATATTTAAACAATCAATTTATGATGAATAGCAAAAATAACAAATTGTGATAACAATCAAACATTGTTATTGACTATTTGATTTTTTATTGTTGGTGTTACAATTGATAAATGTGATAAACATGTTATAATCATTAATTTAAATGATATAATAAATGATTATGAATGGTGTACTATTACGATATTATATATAATAATACAAATTATTAGCACAATGTTTTTTCTTTTTTCTTTTATCTTAATAATTCTATATTTAGATGATGAAAAATGCACATTTTATATATAGATGATGATTTTGTATTATAGATTATTTACGACTGAATATACTATTTCAAATTTTTTCACGTTTTTTTTAACAAAAAAGTTTTAATGAAAAATAGCGGAGGACTTTCATTGTTGTGTTAATTGTAACTAACTAGCTACGGAGACGTATCAAAAGTCTCCGCAATATCAACGGAAACACTTTTTCATTAATCAATACAAATTCCCCGTTCACACAACTCAATTGTGGTTTTTATATATATTTGTAAAAATAATAATTTTCATTTTTTTTATATTTTTAAAATAAGAAATAATCTTTCGATTGCAAAATAATAATAATATTGTGATTGTATATACTATATATAATTAATTTTATAAATAAAAATATGTTTGTATCTTAATTAGTAAAAAATATAATTATTATTAAAAATCATCATCGTGTATAGTAAAATTAATTTTTTTCTTTGTTATATTTTTAAAATCATCACCATATAAATAGAGTTCAAAATTCACTGTGATATTTATTTTCACAGTGATTTTTACACTTCATGATGATTTTTCAAATTCACTGTGATCGCCTTTAATTTAATAATTTATATAAAATTTTAAATTTATATTAAAAACAACATTTAAATTATTTTAATAAATATAATATTAAAATATATAATGTTTTTCAAATGTAATTTTATTTATAACTAATAGTATTTAATTTAATCTTATTATTGTTTAATTATTCAAAAAACCTTTATAGTCGGGTGATAAAGGGGGTTAATTTGGGACAGAAGTAGTTAATTTGAGTAAAAAACTATAAAATATAATTTATTTAACCATAAAAGTATTAGAAGGGTTTTTTCAATTAACTACTTTGAAAATAATAAAAGAAAACCATAACTTTCTATTTTTGATATTATTCAATCTTTGAAAACAATGGAAGAAGAAGAGAAAGGAACCCTTGATGAAATAACCACAGGCAATCAACATAAAAAAGCAATTTAAATACAAGAAACCAGTTTAAAAACTGTATTTCAATATATATTCACGATGTATATGGTTAAAATGCCAGAGTTTAATGAATTAACAACAGTGTCAATTTTTGAAAGTGTCAGGGAATCACTGAAAAATCATCATTTGTTATTTCAATCTTTCAATCTTTCGTTGTTGAACCATTTCCATTGAGAAAAGATAAGAGAAAGACCATTTTAACATAAAAACAATTGGAGTTGAAAAAGAGCAGAAAAGAAATGAAACAAAGGAAAAAACAAAGGAAAAATTCTTTAACAAAACAAGTTTCAGACAAACCATAAAAAGTGCTGCGTTTTAGACTTCCACATTTTTTAAGTGAACAAATTGAGGTGTTTTTGTTTATTTTTGAAATAGAAATTTATAATTATTCAATTTATAATCATTTAAAATAAAAAACGATAATTTATATTATTATTTTAATTTTATGTTTATTTTGACCTTTAAATAGATTTTTTAAAAATTATAGTTTCAAAATTATATTTATCAAAATTAACTACCTTTGTCCCTTTTTAATGCCATTTATCCCCCGACTATATAATGATAATAAACTAAATTACAAAAGATAATTATTTTATATTATTCATATATTAAAAATATTTAATTATATATTATTAATTTTCAATATAATAATAGTTAATAAAAAAATAAACCAAAAAAACACTTCAAATTAGATTAAAAATCCCTAAGATATTTATTACTTTTTATTATTGAAAATAATAATAAAAAACCTTTTTCTATTTAACAAATAAAATAATTAAAAAAATTACCAAAAACAAAAAAAAACAAATAGTAAAAATTGTAATAAAAACCTTTTACTTTCTAATATAAAAAATAAACTTGAAACCCCACATTCCACGAGATGGTTGATATAGAGTATTATAATATTTCATTCCAAATGGCAAATGCAACAAAATCCACTGTTGAAACACTCTTTTCAAAGTATTCCCCCACCATTTTCGAATCATTTATACCCGAACAAAACCCCAAGCGCAAAGTCGACTTCATTGTAGAACTTCGAAAAAAGCGTGAAGCTATTATTGCACAGAAAGAGCTTATAGCGAGTGGTATCCACGGCTCAAATGTTTCCATTCGGAAAGTAGAAGGCCATGGTCGGTGTTTTTTGATCTCTGGACTTCCCAATGGCACCACTGTCAGCAATTTAAAGCAGTGGATTGAGAAGTATAACCCCATTAAAGTTGAATCTGTTGAAGTTGAGTTAGTCAACAAACGAGTGAACGTCACTCTTGGATTTAAAGACAAAGAATGCGCGAAGAAATTTGTGGACGAATTTTCGCAACAGGACATTGAAGGTGAAAAGGCGAAAGTCCGTAAAATCGACATCAAAGACAAAAAGTGTTTTGTATGTGGAAAGAAAGGGCATTTGAGTGGCAGTTGCCCAGAAAAGGAACAACATAAAGTTGTACAAGCGCAACCTAATAAGAAAGAAAAAGAGGAAAAAACAGAAACAACTCTTTTGGAAGAGAAAAAGGAGAAAAAAGTGAAGAAGGAAGCTTTAAAGAAAGAAAAAACAGTGCCACTGCAACTCCCTAAAGTTGACAAAAGAACAACAAAGAGAAAGAAGGCTGTTTCTCATTTAAAAAAGGACTGAAGTAATTAAGCGATTTTTCTATTTGTTGGAGTCATACTTTTTGATTATTTAATAGCAAAATTCAGCGATGTTCACTCTTTAATATTCATTTTTTTCATTAGTTTCATTTCATTGTAAAATGTAAATTTATTGAAATGAAAATTTATTAAAAATTGTTTTGTAAAAAATGGGTTAAAATATCCAAAACTTGTATTAATGTGAATTGTATATAATTATATCTTCATTTTGTAAAGTCGCATGGTCATATTTAAATTATTATAATCTTTTAAAACTGAAATGGATGTAAGTTAACTGTCAATTAAATTGAAATTTAGACATTATAAATTTTATTCAAAATAATTCGCTTGAATTTTTTAATAAAATACAAGTTAAGTCTCTGAGTTATCTTTAATGTTAAAAAATAAAATTAAGTATCGAATTGTTGAATTAAAACTTAAAATTCGATTTGAAATTTACAGTTAATGAGTAAAATTGATTTATTCAACATCCTCACAGTCGCAAAATACTTTCTTTCAATTTCCGATTTTATTATATTATCACAAGTAAATAGTAAATATTTAAAAATATTTGACTGTTTTCACTTCAACCCTTTTCCACTTTCAGCAACGACTAGAAAGTTTTTCACAAATTTGGAAACCCTTCATTTGTGGTCAACTACAGATGAGACTTTTGGAAACAGAGTTCCAAAGAGATATATTGAAGAGACTGAACAATTTCCAGATACTCCACAACACTCTTCTGAAGAACACAATTCAGACGAAGAACTTGAATTACACGATGAATTCAAAAAAGAACAAAGAACAACAGAAACCTTTTTTAATATTGTTATTTGGTATCAAGTCGATTTTAAAACAACTACAATATACAGGACTAATAATATGGTGTTTAAAAATGTAACATATACCACGAAAGATGTCAAGGAGTTTGGAACGACAATTCCAGATATTGTAAACACTCTTGGGGAGTTTACTTTTACTCTTCAAAACACGACAAAAGAACAAATGAAAGACTTTAAAATACCAAGTCACATCACTTCAATAAGAAATGAATGCTTTAAAGGAAACACCAATCTTTCTCAATTATCATTTGGACCAAATTTATTATCTATTGGCGAATCTGCTTTTGTTAATATCAACAATCTTCACATAGACATCAATTCTAAAGTATCTATACTATCTATACCAACTAAAAAGGTTAAGAAAATTTTATTGGGATGGAGCGCCTAATTGGCATATTTGTTGATCCCACTGTTACAATAAGTTCTCTGATATAACAAAACTTGAAAACAAATTTGAAATACCAAATTGTGTGACTCAAATCAATGAAAATGCACTGCAGAACTGTGTACACCTGACTCGGATAACACTCCCAGAAAGTGTTAAAGTGTTAGGGATGTCTTCATTTTGTGAATGTGGAGGAATTGAAGAAATTACAATACCAGAAGGTATCACAGAAATTCCTGCTTGGTGTTTTGGTAAGTGTTTTTCATTAAGAATTGTATCACTTCCAAAAAGTGTTGAACGCATCGGACAATTCGCATTCTTTTGGTGCCGGTCACTTCTTATTTTCAATGGTGGTGATTCGCTTGAAAACGTTGGTGCGTTTTGTTTTAAAGATTGTTATTCGCTCAAAAGCGCTTCTTTCAGAAATAAAAATTTAAAAGTTGATATCGGCGCGTTTTTCAATTGTAACAAAATGAAGAGACTTGAAGTGAATGAAAACGTAATAACAAACAACTGGGAATTACCAAAGTGCACTAAAGTGGTTGTTATTTAGTAAATTAATAGTTTAAAAACTAATTACTTTTCATACACTTTTTTTTATTGTTACTATTTTTATGGTTTCCTTATTAGTATAAGTGTAACTTTATTTTATTTATTTTTTGTTGATAATAACAATTTATTATATCAAATAACATATTTACTATAAATAGTAAATATGTTATTGTTTTTATTAAAAATTTTTATTTTTGTGTTAAAAGTTTGGAATATAATTAAACTCTTTCCGACTCTCCGATTTTAAACCAAATTTGGTGTAAAATTGTTAAAAAAAACAATCAAAAAATAATCTCCAAAAATATAAGAGTTATTATGAATAATGTGTTAATGTTTTAAACAAAAAAATAATAATAATTGTTAATTTTAACTATATTAGTATATTTACCATAATAATATAATATTTATATAAATATTAATTCCAATTAATTGAAAAAAAATCAAATAAAAAATATCAAAACCAAAAACTTGTATAAACATGTTATCTCCGAATGATAAAAACTCCGCTTTTGTGAATGAAATTCAACAAAACGAAAACTTATAAATCAGAGAAATGATTTCCACTTTTCTATTTCTTCTCATTCAAAATGCATTGAGTGTCGTCTGCCAATTATCTTCTTCACAAAACGAAATAGACGAAAGTTGTCAGATCCTCAGTGCATCATTCACAACACAAAATCTGACAATTAAAAACGAAACTACAATATCCGTCTCAGATTCATTGACTTTTCAGAGTAACTCCTTTTTGTGTATGAAGGATAACACTACACTGAAAATAATCAACAATCTTCTTTTTTATTTTTCTATAGCTGAATTATCACGTGATTCAAAACTTATTACCAAAACTATAGAAATGCACAAAACGCAAATTACACAAAATGGAAATGCCCAATTGAACGTTACGGGACAACTTCTGGTATATGACAACTCTCTGATACTTTTATTCGACAAAACGAACATTTTTTCTTCTTTGACAATTTTGTCCTCTTCAAATATTTCAATGATGCAAAACACGAATTTATTTGTCGAAACAACTTTTCAATTAAAAGACAATGCCTTTCTCAGGATCTTTGAATTTTCTAAAGTAGTTGCTAATTATTTGGAAGTGTTACAAAACGGAAATATAGAAAGTTATACCACAAGTTCGATTGTTATTTTAAATTCAACTGTAATTCAAAACAGTGGGCAGATAACACTCCAAAACGATTCTTCACTTTATATAGAGCAGATTTTGACAATAGAAAGCGACTCCAAATTCTCAATTTATGACTTTGCATATGGAAAAATCGGGAATTACACTTTGGTAAGAGATAATGGAATACTTGTTATATCTAACAATAACTATTTTCAATTTAATATCGTTGAAATAACCGAAAATGGGATTCTTTTAGTTGATAAAAAAGGGACATTTCATTCAAAAATGCTTTTATGTAAAAATGTGACTATTGAAGTGAGAAATCATTCACTAATCAACACAATAACAACTAAAATAGATTCAGACACAATTATTTATACAAACAAAATAGCAGGAGAGTCTCCTCTTTTTATAGTTCACACAATCGCTGAAATACAAAATTTTTCAATTCAAAACGAAAACACCGACTTTTTCGACTTGATGTATTCAAAAGAGGAAATCACAATAGAAAGTGAACAACTCCCCAAAAATACATTTTTAATGATGAACAAAACTCTATTAAGGTATGGACTACATAATGAATTATTTTGCCATTTAGAAAATGAAGATGTTAAAAATCGATTATATATAGAGAACTATTGTCCCTGTAATATTGATAATTGTTATATAGCACCTGTTGGAGGAGACGACTGTGTCTTTGTGAATATAACTAATGACGAGGAGAAAAATACAGAAAATGAAAATGAGAGTTTGCCTTCCCTTCCAAATATCATTCGCCTATCAAAATATACTTTTTACATCGGTCACAAACAGTTTATACATTTTCATATAACTTCAAATATTATGAATGCGACAGATATCAATTTCTTTAATATTTCAATGTCAGCGAAAGTGTTAATTACATCACAAACTCCATTTAAAATACATTCCTTGGGTTTAAGCGAAAGCGTTTTGTGTACTATTGGAGTTATAGAAAGTGGTACATTCAAATGTATAGAGTATCTCTATAATATTAATATTAATAACAATACTAATATTAATACTGGTTATTGTGTGAATGGAAGTATTGATAAGATCACAAACTTGTGTGAACACTGTATTATATCTAATTGCGAGAAGTGTACAATTGAGAAGTGTGTCTCGTGTAGTACCAATTATTCCCTTGACATATCATCAGGAGAATGTGTAGAAGACAATCATTGTTTATACTTTGGAAAGAATCGTTGTTTAAAATGTGAGGAGGGGTATTCCATTGTCGATGGAATATGTCAAGTGAATAAAGACATGTGCGTAGTAAAAAGTTTTGGTATTTGCTTGAAGTGTATAAACAATTTGCAATTGTCACAATCACACATATGCATTTTAAGGTCTTCTTTAATTGAAGAAAATGAAAATGAAGTTCCATGTGGAAAAGGATTTTATAAAGAAAACAGTGTGTGTATTTCTTGTAATGAAAAGTTTCCCAATTGCACACTTTGTGACTTCAAACGGTGTTATTCGTGTGAAGAGAATTACAAGTTATATGAGTCAAAGTGTATTAATATGAATTGTACTGCCGATTTTAGTACGAAAACAGACCAAAATGGACTCTGTCATCGTGTCATACAAAACTGCTTCAGAATTGTTAATGGCATTTGTGTTGAGTGTGAAGACAATTTTCAAATGTCGCGATATAACACTTGTGTAGAGTCTCTTATAAGCAACTGTAAAGTGTCATCCTCGTCAAGTGTATGTCTGAGATGTACAAACAATTACTTTCTTGATACTACAAATAAGAGAAGTACTCAATTAAATTCAAATCACAATGAACGGAACTGTCTGAAGTGTCCATTTCAATGTTCTGAGTGTATGTACAACAATTCATTCTGTTTAAAATGCTCTTCTGGATATTATTTATCTGATCACCAATGCGTTTCCAATTTAGAATTAAAGGCGAAATGTAAGGATTACGCTTCCTCGGGTAATTGGTGTTATGAATGTAGCGATGGGTATTATCATCATGGTGTAGACTGTCATCCGTGCAACCAAAAGTGTTCTACATGTGTTCTTGCAGACACGTGTATTGTATGTAATACGACCAATTTCATGTCATCAAGTGGGGAATGCCTTCCTCAGAGTTTAATAGTTGGGTGTAAAGTAGAAGTGACACAAAGTGGGTGTTCTCTTTGTAGTGATGGTTATTATTTATATAAAACAAATCAGTGTAAAAGTTGTTCTTCACAATGTAAGCAGTGTTCCAACGCGAATTTGTGTGAGTCTTGTTTTGCGACGTTTGTATTAAAGAATGGGAAGTGTGTGTTTTATAAAACCATTCAAAATTGTATTGAAGAGAAGAATTCGAAGTGTGAGAAATGCAAATTGTTGAATAAAGTGAACTCCAAAGGAGACTCTTGTAATGATATATCATACTTATTCATGTCTCTGGTTTTTATAGCTCTTCTTCTCATCTTTTTCGCGTGTGTTTTTATCGCGACATCCATTGGAATTCGTTTTATTATAAGAAAGAAGCAACTCAAGACTATGAAATTAAATAAGCGCATTTTCTTACTAAAATTCACAAAACATAAATTCCAAACTATTTGTAAGGGGGTGGGTGTCAACGTGAAAGAAATCGATTTCAACGAGGGCAGCGAGGAAGACGGAATTGATGTCAAAAAAGAAACGACGAAATTTTTGTATGTCGTGAATTTAAAAGGAAAGAAGAAGTCGTTTGAAATTGGTATTAAAAGTGCAAATGAGAGTTATAAGATCAAGATATGTCCAACACACTTCGATTTAGAGAAAGGCGAGTGTTGTCAAATCGAAGTCCAAGTTAAGCCGAAATACACGTGTAACATTTCCGATGTTCTCTTAGTCGGTGTTGTTGATAAGACGAAACAAAAAGTTTTTAAAGAGGCAGACCCACCACTTCCCAAAGTTCATCACTTTAAAAACATTTCATTGCCGGACAACATCGAAACACCGAAAAGTACTCAAACGGCAGAAGACGGCATTTTCATACACACAAAATCAAAACGGACGCATTCTTCATTAGACTTTACGAAGGATACAATACCAAGAAAATCAATTGAAATGCATTTGGAGAATCACTTCTCTCTACACAACTATGGATTCATTTCTCTCTCTGAAATCCCATTTTACGCTCGAACCAAAATTACTACAAAACTCGATCCTAACGAATAC